CCAAGAGCAATTGCTTAAAAAGGCACGTTTTCTGGATTTTCTCACGATTTTCAAAATAAAATAAGTTTTTTGTTTAATGTTTATCATGCTGTCCATTTGAGAGAACAGCCATTCTGTGCAAGACGATGAAAAACATAGATTACATATCAGAACAAAGAAATGTAGTTTAAGAAAGAAGTTCGAAATCTCAACACCCGTAATGGTCAGGTGACTATTGGGAAAAGGCACAGCGGTTCTAACGTTTCTATACACCTCACCCACATATGTTTTCAGAGTTACCGTATTTGACGGTGTATAAGATGCACCCCAATTTCAACAGGAAAAATCAAGAAAAAAATTAGTAATTAGTAAAATTATTAGTAAATGGTACAGCTTAGGCTATATTTATGAGGTAATATTTTGGTTAAAAAAAGCCATGAATACAATTAAGCGAAAAATGATAGGAAAAAAAAAAAAAAAACGAACACGAGCCTATAAAAACTTTATTATATCCTTTATATGATCTGTTCAACCTGCATCTTGTAAACGTTTTATTGGAATAATTAAGATATAAAAATTATGATTTTATTTATACCAATGAAACCGGAAGTTATCGCAAGAAAAATATTGATGAAACAAATATATTTTATAAATACATAATTGGAATTTATTGCATATAATTTTAGTGAAACAAAGTACTAATATTAAACGTGATGAAATTAATATAATGAATATTATCAATGATAACACTTTTAATCTGCATAATAGCCTTTTAAATAAATATAGGTATATTAAAGTTACTCTAAAGTCTAAGCTAATAGGAGTTGCCAGGTAGATAATTTCGGTCGATTATTGCGAATTTTAAACCTACATCTGGCATATAAGACGCAGGGGAATTTTAAAAGATATTTTTAATAAAAAAAAAGGTGCGCTTTATATGCTATAAAATACGGTAATTGTTATACACGTGTATCTTTAGTCCAGGCTTACGGCCATATCACATTGAAAGACCGGCTCTCGTACGTCCACCGTAGTTAAGCAATGTCGAGCCTGATCGATATTTAGATGGGTGACAGTTTAGGAATGTCAGGTGATGTAAACTTGGTTGTGTGGATAATGTAATTCATAACGGCTGTGAATTGGAAATCAGAAAACAGAGTTCCAATTCCAACCCTTTCTCCCTTCCAGCTAAGGGTTAATTATTAGTAACTTGTATCAGTAAATCATTATTATCTCTAAAAAATCTTTACAATCCAAAAATATTTTCTAGCTTTAAATAAACTGCGAAAATGTTAATAAACCGTAAAAAAAAAATTCAATCAATTTACTTTAAATTTTCTTGATTTGTTCGTTCATAATTTCCGCACAGAGGAAAATTCGATAACTGAGCTTTTTTCATTTTTAAAAAAATAAAGTCATAATCTCTTCTGTAATATAAAACAGATTGTGACTTTATACAAGGTCATTGAAAAGTAACTCATTATTTTATGTATGATAGACTCCCCCGTCTAATTATAATTTTTACAAGACAGGAGAGTCCATCATACATAAAATAGAGAGTTATTTTTCACTCACTCTATATATTCATCGTTTACGCAACTTGATCTCCCCTATTTACTAATAAGTTATTCCAATGTTATGCCAATACAGAAAATCGTCTCAAATCATCTTTTCAGTCACTATAATAACGAGAACAAGTAGCAAATAAACTGCCTTTTAGATGACTTTCGAGTTTGTATTTTATTAATTCAAAATGGCTGAAAAGTAAAATAACACATGTTTAATATCGGGTGAAATTTATGTACAACAGGAAATTTTATTTATAATTTTATTTTAAGTTTGTTTTTATTTTTTAAAATTTAACAGCAAATATAGATGAATATGTTATTGATATTATATTCGTTAAACCTGAGAAACTTCGTCAATAGAGTTTACGTTTTTCAGAGGTCCTGCATTTGAATCGTGCCGTTGAAAGTATATATATATATATATATATATATATATATATAGTGTGCATTTAAGTAGCATTTTTTTATTCATACATGTTTCATTAAATAATATAGACAAGTGTTTATTTATTTTATGTAAATTCTTTTCATAACGTATGATGAGCTTAATAACATTATCATTAAACGAAGAAAGAAAAATCACAATATTGATCCATATTTTTTTTTAATCCAATCTAAGCTTTCGGCTTACATAAGCCATTATCAAAGATTACAATTACTGTACAATATATTAAGAAATACACGGACAAGAATGTGATGAGCTGCGGTGCGATTTTCCAACGTCTTATATACACGTGTTTAACGTTGCTTGGAAATCATCCATGTAAACAGAAACAGACTATCATTACTTTAGAAAAAAGCAAATAAAGTTAAACTAGAATACTTACATAAAGACAAGACAGACAAAAACAGACATAAATATAGAAAACGCAATATAATTTGCTTTAACCCAACATTTAACCAAAATATTAAACCAACATCCATTAAATTTTCTTTAACTTAATTCATGAGCATTTCAACGATATCCCAATGCTGGAAAATTTTTTTAACAAAAACAACATTAAAGTTAGCTAAAGCTGTACTAAAAACCTTGAACAATATATATCGGACCATAATAATATAATGTTAAACAAATATTTAAGAAATCTCCGTGGTAATAATAATACTGAAAAAGTTGCAATTGCAGAAAAAAATACCTGCCTACTAAATTCTAAATGCATGTCTAAAGGCATTGTTTATAAAGCAAATACATTGTTTATAAAGCAAGTATTAAAAATAATGGCGAAATTAAATTTTATTTTGGTTCCACCCAAAAACACCAGAAAACAAGGTATTACCAACATAAAATGACACTTACCAGTAGTCCATGGTATTGTCTAACTTTTTCTGGGAAATTAGGATGGATAACTACACACATTTAGTAAATTGGGATTCCATCGCTAAAACCAAAGCCTTTAGCGACAAGGAAGAAAAATGTAATCTATGCCTCTTGGAAAAACGTATCATCCTTAAACCATTGATAACTCCAACCTGCTGAATAAATGAAGTGAACTTATGACCACATGCATTCATAGGAAAAAACTTTCTTCTCAAATATTTTGATTTTGGTTAGAATCTTAAACTAGCAATTATTAAAAATAACCCCACTGACTTGTCTCTGTTTTTTTTTTTTTTAATTTCTTCCCTTCCCACTTCTATACCGCTTCTCTCTACTCTGTTGTTATCATCTCCAAATTCTATATTAATTTTATGTTTATATTAACTTCATACCCATATTAATTCTATTTTACATTTATTCTTTTTTCATCCCCCCTCTTTTTTAATTTACTCCCCTTGGACCGTTATCACCTTCAAATTTAAAAGAACATTAGTTTAGCGTTCCCATGTTTATATGTTTTTTTTTACCTTATAGACTTTATTGTTTAACCATACTCCATAATTTTGCATGTATCCGCAATTAGAATACACTAACTTAATTTACAACATAAGCTTGCTTCCAACGAAACCCAGAGTTTTTTTCTTTTAAAAAAACCGTATCGAATAACTTCATGTTTTTTATTTTTATGCCATTTTAACTTTATTTTTTATTCTTATCTCACCTTTAATTCTATCCATCTTTCCTCTTCTCTGTTCCTTCTCTTTTCCTTGCCTCCCTTGGAAGTAATTTAACCTTGATAAGCAGACGCTTCCTCTGTAGCTAAATGGTATAGCACGTCAGGTCAAATAACGGTTCCGTGTAGGTTACAGGTTCAATTCCTGTCGGAGGACACATTTTCTATAAAATTTCTCTGACATTCAGTTCGGTAAATCTAGTTAATACTGTTTATTACAAACAGAGCATTTACTTAAATATTTGTATCTATAAAAATAAGGCGAGAATATATTAAAATAATTGTCGGACTTAGCCGATTTCATATATATATATATATATATATATATATATATATAGTATTTACATTAGTCGGACTATTGTCCTCATCTTTGTCGCCATATTTGTCACAACGTTTCGGCCGTTGTACGCTCCGGCCTTCTTCAGGTGGTTGGAATTTCGAACTGAACCCTTTATTTCGATCGCTGGGGTAGACTCTTCTAATTCCACGTGCCATGTTTGATGGATGTCAGTTATCAGTTATCTCCTGCTAATTTTCCCTCTGAAAGTTCTCCACTGCCTTAACCAGGAATTGAACTCACCTTCTTTGGGTCTGTCACTGGATCTAACCAACGCCTTTATCCACTGTGCCATGTGTCCTTGATATATATATATATTTTCTCTCTTTCTCGTGCAGTTTAGGGCAGACCCAAAAATAGGGCATTTTTAATGACTCTGCATCGGCTTATGGTCACGCGTAACAAATTGACTGAATATTACTTTATGGTTAGAGACTTTTTTTCAGTCAGATTCTAATGTTGAATGTTAACCTTTATATACACACAAACCAAATTTACTCAACTGAACCCCAGAACAGGCAACGGGCAGTCTATCAAAACTCTGAAAATATGACGTCACAAATAGGAAGGTGTTCGATTTCGACACCTCGACTGAAGTTGTTTTAATGACATTCTTGAAGTGCACGCACGTGTTATCTATTTTCAACGAAAACCACGTGTTCCAGCCTAGACGAAATCAAGCATATCGAATGCTGAGTGTACTGTAGCCAGACTTTCTCCAGTTGAAAAATGGGAATGATACACTCTTTTTGCTCTTATTTAACATTTTTTGGGGTTTTTAATTAATTTAGGCTTCTCTGAAAACGGAATTCATTTAAGCATTTGGAGATTTAAGATAATTAAATTTCATAATTTTTTGAGAACTTATTTTGCCAGGTTTAAAAATATCAAGCGACAAAACAACGAACGAACAAAAAAACTTTGGCCTAAATTTTAAACAGAACGAATGAGCAAAGACTAAATGTAGAAAGTGTCAAATGTACACCCGCTCATTAACCCACCAAAAGAGGGATTTTAAAACCACATAGCAGTAAGGAAACTAACAAGGATCTATTTATCACTTACCTGTTAGCTCCGTCCCGTCAACAATTTCTTTCCAAATCACCTGGGAGTCTCCAACCTCAATAGATTTTCCCAGAGACTTTTCGTCAGGTGTATAATCCGCAGAGTTATGAGATCGTCCAAGGATGCAACTCATGATGTGTAGATCCTGTGTTATTTGACTAGGTCCACTCGAGTAATAATGATTTTTTAAAAAAATGATATCAAGAGCGGCGTATGCTATTACTATACTTCTGTTGTCACTGCCTTCTTTCAGAACAACTGGGTATGAATGCTGAAATACCCGCTTACTTATAGCGATGTTAGAAGTGACAGGAGAACCATGCTGGGGCCTGAGGTGACTGCTGTTGAAACACAGAGAAAACGGAACCATAGAAAAAAAAATCACTTTCTTTTCTTTTTATCTTTTTATGAATGACAGTAGTCGATTTTGTAAACAACTAAGCTTTTGCTCATTCCACAACAGAAATAACCCGAGGGAAATTGTTGAATGAGTAAAAGCCGTCGTAATTGCTACTCTTATGCCTCTCTCTTTTCCACATACCTACTTTTAAACTGCTACTCCTTAGTCGCCTTCACCTCCTCCTCCTCCCCTTCCTTTTTCTCTTCGTCCTCCTCCTCCTATTTTGTTGTGTTATTTACTCTCAGCATGTTTTTTTTTTTGGTGTTTCGCTATTCAGCTTTTTAGCCGAACAAACGAGAGACGAATGGCGACTGCGAGGGAGGGTGAATGGCCGTGGAGTTTCTCACGTCCTAAGCAAAGAAATCGGCTAACAGAGTTCGAATTTCAGCAGAGATTATTTATGTTTACTTTACATTCTATTTTAATGCCTATAGGGAGGTTCTGAATCCAGTTCATCCTAAACTTAAAGAAGCCCCCCTCTTGATATAACTCTACAAAAGTCTCGTTTGATTTACGACCCTGGTTTAACGACAAAGAACTGACTTCAGACTTATTTGTCTACTGTCATCACCAAGTAACCGTGTCTTATATTATTAAGAGAGGAGATGGGCGCCGCCAACTAACTATTCATTTGTTAGAGATGAACGAATCAGAAAGATGCTTTGACGATCTCTTAGAGATCACAGGATTATCTAGCCATGGAGAATTTAGATTAACTTTTTATTTGACCTTTGACATTAAAAAAATACACAGATTTTTTTAACGCATTTAAAAAAAGAAATTAAATCATTATTTATAAAAAAAAACAAAAAAAAATCACAAAACAAATGAAATCAAATAAGAAAATGCGTTGAGACAAGGAGAGAGACAGAGACACCAAGGAAGCGAGGGAGAGAAAGAGAGAGAGATAGAGATACGGGGAGATAGATAGATAGATAGATAGATAGATAGATAGATAGATAGATAGATAGATGGAGCAGGATTGTAATCATTTTTTTATATAATGCCATGCCTCTTCAGGACGTTGGCAGCTGGGCAGGTGCTTGGGCCCCCACCGAAACTTTGATATGTGGGCCCTCCTCTCTACTACATGTCGATTTCAAAATTTCGTAACCTGGGGGCCACAAGCCCTTGAAAGAAAATTGGAGTTTGGGTTGGGCTGCGCCTTTTTAAATTACCAAAAATCAGGGAATTATTCAATTTAAATGAACATTTCAGTACATATTCATTAATTACTTACTTTTATAATGAATAGTTTTTTTTATTTTGAAAAAAAAATCTGAGAAAATGTTATTGTTTTTGTAATAACCACCAATATTTTTATGACTAAATTTTACTCGAAAACAAATGTTTAAGTCGTAAGTTTTTACATTTCCATAAAGATTAATCGCCAACCGCATCTCCACAAAAAATTCTAACACAACACAGGAAAAAAAACATCTCCGACAAACTGAATTTTCTTATAAAAAAAACAAAAAACGGTGCTAATGCATGAGAGGACTTTAATGTAGTTACTGCTTTGCTGATGTTTGACAGAAAAATTAGGGTTAGTTAGGGATTTTTAGGGTTAGTGGTAGGCTAGGGGTCGAACTTTTCCGTAAATGTTTGACGAATGAGATAATTCTCATTTTAGACTAATACAAGGTTTAGCGTTTCTTACTAGCATCTCTTTCTTTTAAAAAAAAAAAAAAAAACTCAAAAAATGTTTCCTTTAATACGATTCATAGCTAAATAAATGTATTGTACATTTTCAGTGAGAGAGAGAGAGAGAGAGAGAGAGAGAGAGAGAGAGAGAGAGAGAGAGAGAAATAACGGAGACACAAGGAGAGAGTCATACAGATAGAAGGGGAAGAGAAAGAAAATGACAGAGAGAGAGAGAGAGAGAGAGACAGACAGACAGACAGACAGACAGACAGACAGAAAATGATGGACAGAGAAAACATTGAATTTCGCTTTTTCCTGTTTAAAAAATATCCCAAATTGGAATTACTAAAAACCACTGCAGTTATATTCATATAAAATGAAAATTTGATTGTAATTTAATTATGTATAATAATTGATCATATCATAAACATTTCAAGTAGAAAAATAAATAAATAAAATGTATAAGTAGAAATCCGTGACAATTTTAAGTTGGACCAATGCTAGTCTCTGTTAGTTTCTTCAGAGACATCAACCAAATATATTATTCCGTGAATCGCCCTCTTTAATGACACTGGCATCGTTGCTAAAAAAAAAAGCTATTATTTTTCTCCAAAACTTTTTATATGACGATAAATGAACTTGTTGCTACCTTCAATGTTTTTGGATTGATAACTTTTATATATAAACAACTGTAAACGTATAAAAGGCAAAGATTGCATGAATGTTGCTTGGTCTCTTTATCTGTAGATTATTGATGCATTCACAATATCATGGTTGAAAAATAGAACTTTACATGGTATTTTTTCGATGCTTAGAAAGAGAAAATACATTCATTACTTCATCACAGTCGAGGGACTGAGTACGTTTATTTTCAATAAAAATCATTGCTAACCTGGATAACCTTTCAACCATCATTCATTGTAGATTGTAGCACGGTGGAGTAATGGATAGCGGCTTGGATTGAGGAATCGGAGAGCCGAGTTCGAATTCCAATCGAATACATTACATTCACTTACGTGCTAATACCCTTGGGAAAGGTGTGAATCCTATTCTTCTCCCTCTAGCTATGGGTAAATAGCAGGACAGACTGGGTTCTATAGATAGCCTTGGATGGTAACTGGAGAAGGAAAACTCTGAATTCAAAACCTGCAGAGGGTCGTTTGGGGACTTTGTGGCACGTAGTGCACCAGGTCTCTGTAATCGGCCCTTCAAAAAGTGTGGATGGTTCTGCACGAAACCTTCACCACTATAATCAAATCTCATGTGCTATACATGCCGGTTGGGGACCGCTTGTGAATTCCAAATTCCCATGAAATATGGGACCCGGCTCAACCCACCCGGGGTGAATGCCGTTACAGGTAGATCGTAGATAAATTTTGATTCGTTTTAGTTTGCTGAAACTCCTTTCCTTGCAACAGTAACTGTAAGCAACACTAGCAATGCACAAGTTCGGGTCAACTAAGTTATTCCGAAAAATGTGATCTAAAAAATCATGGGCAGTTTGCGTTTTTTATTCATGATGTCCAATTCCTGTTTAAGAATTGAAGCAAATCTTTTAATCTCCTGGGCTAATTCTTCTAGGTCAATGTCACCCATTTTTTGTGTGAAATAGTTTGCAATTCACTTCCAGATTTCCACTTTTCATAGCATTTAAAAGGAAGTCTGAATTTTGAATGAATCCATAAATTTCATTGCACTTGGATAGCTGAGAAAACCGATTATGAATTGAAAACAAACCCTGGCCAACAAAAGTCCTGGCGAAAACGTTCTTCGGTTGTTTGAACTTCGTCGCAGGAAACGTATTCAAATATAAACATCTTTTGCAATGTCGCACTAGTGATGCAAACCTTTCAACATCAATATCATTTTCTTTTGCAATTTCAGGCGCTGTTGACATAGCAGAGACATAAACCATTTTTGCGATAGTCATAAAGAAAACAGAAAACTGCAAGTTGCATTGATTTTTGCAGTCATAATATCAATAGTAACATCAGAAGATTGCAACAATTGACTCACTTTGTTCACTTGAAACAGAACATTGTACCAAATGATGAAGCTAAGTACAGAGTTTCAAGTAGATATCCAGTCGAACAGTAAAATGTTACTTCAGTCGCTGAAACACCGTCTCTCTTTTTTTGAAGAATTTTCTCATAGGCTGATAAACGCAGATCTAATGATTTTTTTTAAGTGAAATTGAAATGGTTTGACTGCCTTGATTCGTGATTCCCATCTTGTATCACACTCTGTGCTTTCAAAGAAATAGGTACATAAATTAATAATATCTTCCATCGAAGTGTCGAGGCAGAAAATAAATTATGTAAACGATTTACTACCCTAAAGAATGTAACGGAAGCCACCGATAACTGAAGTATCGGCACAATCAGATTCAAAGTTTGTGCATTACATAATGGAAATAAAGATTTATTATTTTCTTGATGAAAACAGAATTTTCACTTAAAACATTTTTACAGAACAAAAGGCAAAAAAACCTACGCATAGATTTTCCACTATTTACATTATTCGGATATATTGTCCTAATCTTTGTCGCCATATTTATCACAACGTTTCGGCCGTCGTATGCTCCGGCCTTCTTCAGGTGGTTGGAATGTCGAACTGAACCCTTTATTTCGCTCACTGGGGTAGACTGTTATAGTTCCACGTGCCATGTTTAATGGATGTCAGTTATCAGTTATCTCCTGTTAATTCCCCTTCTCCAAGTTCCCCACTGCCTTAACCGGGTATTGAACTCACACTCTTTGGGTTCTGCCATTGGATCTAATTAGCGCCTTTATCCACTTTTATTTCGTTAACTACCTCAAAGAATGTAACTGAAGGGTTTTCTGGGGTAAGACGTGCCGGCCCTGACGATCAGAACACTTCAAGAATTCCTTTTTTTTCTCAACAGGAGTAGATAGGTTTGCCTACCGCCTGGTTCACACTTCGCCCCGGTTTTTTGAACAGGAGTAGAGGGTTTTTCCTTATTTCCTGTTTAGGATTGTGTTTCCGGTTTCTTCTAAAGCATTTTCCTTCTCTTTCACTTCCGGTGGACGCTTGCATTTTAGTGGCATTATTCCCTTGCTTGGAGTGGT